CTAAGGATGCAGTTGAGAAGAATTGTGATAATGATGATTACTGAATATCCGGTACCCTCATTAGCACGGAATTATCCCCGTAAAGAGTACCAAATCATGTATGAAAGTGTTCACATTTATTTGTGTACATGCAGGAGAAACAAATACCCATGCAAGAGTGAATTTGTATGAAATGTCCACATACAAGTCATGTTGAAGTTGATCAGTTTCTCAATTCTCAACATTGGGCAATTCTCAACATTGACAATTTGTCCAGATATTAATGGATTACAAATTCCACTCAAGACTTCGTGTACTGGACACAGATGACGTAAAGCAAAAGACTTCTTTGTTTTCTGTTCAAGGAAAATCTGCTTGGTATTGTTTCAAGGCTGTTGTTCTTTTGTTTTCCGTCATCTGTGTCCGATCGGCTGTCCTCAGTCTGTTGGAAAGATATTCTTGACGTGCATTGTACAGATCGTGTAATTGTTGCTGCCTATCGTTGCATCGAAGAAGAGTTACTGTAAACTGTAAGCGTTGCCTGATCTCCCCATCGCTTTTTGAAGCGTCGGCGGCAGTCGGTGGTCCCTCTCTTCATCGTCTCCATTTGCAGTGTAGTTGTAGCCTCTGTACATGTTTGTGGTCGCTGTGTGGACGACGTTGCCTTCGCTGTGCTCAGGGGCACTCAACGACTTTTTTCTGTAAGTATCTGTTCGGAGAGGCAAAAATTAAACTGCTTAGAATTTTCTATTACTCGAGGACGGCTAACAATTTCTAGATGACCGTTCCATTCATGTACAATTTTCGAAGCTTATCTAATAGATTCACTACGATTTTCTAAAGTTTCATTTTTCGCATTGCAATCCCCAGGTTTAATTTAGCACCCTGCGAGCAGTGGTTTCTCCAGGCCGGACGCTACGCTTCGGAAACCACTGCGAGCAACCGTTTGCTTTTCCATGGAGCATGCGCGTACACGCGATGACTACGAATATCCAACGACAAGACGGCAACGAGAACTTCAACAAAACAATAGGTTTAATAAGCAAAACAACAACTTTGCACGTGCATCACGCTTTTATTTTTGCATTTCTTTGCCATTTTTTGCACGACTACGACGTGAAGACGCCTAATTTTGCGTTTTATGGGGAACGTAAACAAGCAACGACGAAATTTATTCTTCTTTTCGCTCTTGAACTTGGATATGTTCCCTTGGAATTCAAGTCCATTTGGGTTCGCCTGCATTTGACGAAGTAAGTAGTTAGGAATAAATAATCCAAAGGAATACTGAATATCCACAGCAGGCTCGTGTTAAGGCAGCAATTGTAAGCGTAAGCAAGCAGGCTATGTATAAAAGTGGGACGGGGACATTGGGACGAGTGTGTGGAGACTTGGGACTTGGGGACGGGAGACGAGGGACTTGAGGACATCAAGTATGGGACGCGGGGACGTGTGGGACGGGTAGGCGAGGACGTCAAAAACAGGGACTCAGGGAACACGGGATGTGAAGAATTATTGCAAAAGTCGGAGGTAAATGCGATATCTCTTTCTTCGAGAAAAAGTGTTATTTATATTATGGTCAACATTAGATTCCATCTTCCAAAACCACATTGGACACCTTATGATAATTACACAAAATATTTCTTTATAACAGGAGCAAGCGCACCGACTATCGTGATCAGGGTTAGGGTTGATTTCCACCATCGCGTAATTTTTCCATGCGTACGTGCGTAAAATTTACGTTCGCAAATAAAATAGAGGCAATGTATGAAAGGTCGCACGTAAGCGTAAAAGTAGAATCTCGCCCAACTTCACGTTTAATCTCAACAATTTATATCTTGCCTCTATTTTATTTACGTGATTAAAATTTACTTGCTTTAACGTGTATAGCCAAAATCAACCTTTAAGTACTGTTAGCAAGCATTTACTGTTAGGCTTACCACTAAAAATATGCAGTAGAACAAAATAAATATTGCTACAATAGTTGAATCCCCCGTGGTTTAGTGGTACAGGCGATGGATTTCTGAGTTATTATAGCATTTCGGGATTCGAAGCTCGCTTATGCCACTGAATTTTTTATTTATTTGGAATCGAATGCTGTTTTTCAACATAATTTTTGGCGACCGCAACCCACCCTACCCTACTTTAGGCTCCAATATTCCATCAGCAAGAAGACCAGGACAACGGCTTCACTTTCTTCAATGCAGGGGGTCTTCGCCGAGTCTTCGCTTCGTAAACAGACATGGAGGAACCATAAGGAGGGCAGGGTGGTTTGCCTTCACCAAAACATATTCACGAGGAAAGTGACGCATTTACCTCCGACTTTTGCAATAATTCTTCACATCCCGCATCCCCTGCGTCCCTGTTTTTGACGTCCCCGCGTCCCCGTCCCACACGTCCTCGCGTCCCATACTTGATGTCCTCAAGTCCCTCGTCTCGCGTCCCCAAGTCCCAAGTCCCCACACACGCGTCCTGATGTCCCCGTCCCACTTTTATACACAGCCAAGCAAATGAGCGAGAGCCTAAACTTGCTTTCAAACAGGATTTACCTGTTTAAAGTTAATCTACTCGTCCATAGCGCTGGACGGTGGCTCGATCAAAGAAGCAGACGGATGCTCGCAGTAATTTCTCTCCTTTCTTAGCGTAGCGTCCGGCCTGGAGAAACCACTGCTTGCAGGGTACAGGTCTAGCTATTTTTCGTAGAAAAAGGAAACCTAAAATTTTCGGATTCGAAAATGCGATGAAGAGAGGAATCAGAAAATTTCTTACTTTCGTAAAACTTTAAATTGCATCTAAACTTTTCGGGAAAAAGATACTGAAGCCCTTGTAATTTCGAAAAGACTCAAGTTGCCCCAGGATGACCGAACAGATACAAATTTTATAGTGCCGCTGAGAATGCATTTCTAGAGATCTAAAAGTACTCTAGATAGCCTGAAAAGTGTTTTCGTGCATTTAGGAGGAAACTATCGTTGGGTACCCCTGTTTGCTAAGCAATGTTCTCTGTGCTTTGCGCGCGGCTTCTTGTTGTCGTCGATCGTCTTCTCCGGTCGCGATGAATTNTAACCCACCGCCTGTTAGAAAACCAGCTTGCTGAGCCAGTTTCCCTTTTTTAATAAAGTTTATTTATTGATTGAATGGTTGGTTGGTTTATCCCTAGATACCCCCTCCCGGCCCTGTCTATGGTGGCCAATATTTTTTGGTATTTCCCCCCCCCCCCCCCCCCTACCTCTAGTTTCTTTGGGAAGTAAACTCCTTGAACTTCAAAATGGCTAGTATCCGTGACGACTTCTTTTCGAAGGAACCATCTTTTTAATAATATGACGTCACGATTCAGATTCAACCAATACGCATTAAACCATAAGTGAATCTAATTTGGGAACATCCAAATCCGGATTTTCGAATCGAAAAACGGATTTTTCGTTTTTCTGGGCAAATCCAAAAACGGATCATGAATCCATAAAATCCATTTTTCCTGGTTAGCCTACATTTTCTTGCATCTACGATAGCCGTTATCCAAAAGATCAGGTCAAAAATCCAAGAAACCCTAAGCTGAATATTTGTTTGATCGTATCTGTAAGGTTTTTGTAAATTTAGAGTAAGTTTTACTACATTTGTGCATGTTTCCATGAATTTCGTCACGTTCTATAGAAAAAAGAAGGGATAACATGAGCATAAAATTTACCTTTTTGCTAAAAGCCTTGGACTAAGCAAAATGGAAAATTAAAAAAAGATAAAGAGGGACGAGAAAATTGGATACAAATCTCCATCAAATACAAGTAATGACCAATTTCACTCGAAGAAAACTTAAATTATTCTTTAACTGAAGATTACTACTATACATTAAACCTCTCAACTCTAGATCTTGCTGGGAAATTTACTAGCGGGTTATATCTAAGAACCGTTGTGTGACCTAGGAAATCGCCTACATCACGAGTATTAACTGCAATAATATCAATGATTGACGATTTATTGACAACGGTCAATAAACTTTATTGGTTTTGTTTTAGAGTCATCTCCCTTTTCTTTGTTATTTTTTTTTTTATTTAAGTTACATCTACGTTAAGTACAGCTCAATCATTCCAGGTTACCGTAATTACTATCAGATTTCTTACGCGTTCAAATGGCTAGTTAGTCTTACTAACAACTAATTTGACTCACAACAATCCATGCCATCTTGTCAAAACGACCACAAAAGCGAAGGTTACTGAGCACGCGAAATCTAAAAATACGGTAAAACGGGCAACACAAAAGCGAAACTTTATTTGCAACATTACTGCAACACGAGTTAAAGAGCGATGTTGCGCGTTTTACTACCCACATTCAACCTGTCCTGCAACAAATCATGTTTTTGCAGGCTGCGAAAATTTGTTGCAGAAAGTAGGGGGTTGTTTTACTTTTTGCAACAAAATCTGTGCATGTTGCTCGTTTTACCGGACCAGTTGCCCGTTTCTCGAAAATCCCAGTAACCTTTCGGGCCCTAAATCGAATTTTCAAATCGAAAAATAAAGAATAAGAGCACCGGTCCTGGCTAACAGACTGCTTCATTTTGTTTCATTAACTGATAATTTTATCATGTTAGACGCAAAACTATTGAAACCTCTATCTTGCATGAAAACAACAACAGCTTTACGGGTCGTTAATTATCTGGACTTTCGAGAAACGGGCCCCAGGACAAAGTTCTTTTGCAGCAAGTGATCTAAGTCCAGTGCATGGCGTGGCTCCCACATAATTTTATCCAAGCAGAAGTCAGTATTCACGCAACTTGCAGTGACCTTTATTTGTTGCGAGAAAGGTTTGAACGTGCGGGTGGTAAAACGCGCAGCATCGCCTTTCAACTCGTCCGTTTTGCAGCAATGTTGCAAAACAAGTTTTACGTTTCTGTTGCCCGTATTACCGCGCCTTAAGCCATGTAATTTACCTCAACATGTTTCGCGCAAATAAAGTACTTGAAAGTTGTTTTATTGTTCTAGAAAAGTCGAAAGAGGAAAATTTCGTCACCCGGAATCGAGGGAGGGAGACTCCTGTTAGGACTGGGGCCTAGAAACTTCTTCTATCATTATTCGGGACACTGAACTCCACCCAGTGAAAGCATCACCCAGGGTTTGGCTGCTACACTGTCCTACCCATAATTCCACTCTAACCGCCCCTTGTGAGATGTTTCCACAGTATCCCTCAAACGACCGATGATGATGCAGGTTAGGCTTCCCTGATGGCCATTCGTTGTAAACAATAGCCTCAATCGTCATTGGTCCATTGCATTCGTTTCCATTGAACTTGAAATACCAGCGATTACACTTCACATGACCTATGACCCTCATGACTCCCTGGAATGAGACTTTAAGCGCAGTATCCGACTTCAACTTGTTAAAAGCACAGTCCTGGAAAAAAAAATCACGATAACACAAAAAATTAATGCCAGCTGGTTGACTGGGGATGAAGGCTGAGGGAATGAGGTTGGGGTCATAGCTGTGCTTTAAAGTTTATCTCAAAAAAACCTCTTTCCACCTATGATGATGGTATTTATAAATAGTTCGTGTTTAGCTTTTAACGAGTTTCTTGTTTACGTTAATCTTTCCATTATCAGTACCGCTGCCTGATTTCCACACACATTGTTTCCAGTTGGTTTGTGGTACTACACTTGCTTGACTTGCTTTGGCGCTTTCTCCTTTCTCTCCTTTGTCTCCTTTTCTTCCTTGATTTCCCACAATGCCTGGCTCTCCTTTCATTCCCACAAGCCCCGATTCACCTTTTATTCCCATAATTCCTGGCGGTCCGCTCTTCCCGGGAGGCCCTTCGCGTCCTCTGTCTCCTCTTGGACCCTGCACTCCTTGTGATCCCTTATCACCAATTTGTCCTTTTGGACCTTCTCTTCCCTGGGACCCCTGCGGCCCAGGCACGCCCGGCACTCCCGGCATGCCATTTGACCCAGGAATGCCTGGAAAACCGTGACTCAGTATAGATTTCTGAAAATAAAGATGGGTTATTAAAAGAAGAGCCACAGCCTATTATAGCATTGAACGGAGGTAATGTCTTGAGAGAGTATAATTGCAGTCCTGTCTTAGAGGCAAGGCCATAGGAGCACGGGCCGGGGGAACAGCACCTCAAAAATTTTGAGCAACTCAGATAATTGGGCAGCAAGAGAAATTTGGGCAAAGTCAGTTTTTTNTGGTTTGTGGTACTACACTTGCTTGACTTGCTTTGGCGCTTTCTCCTTTCTCTCCTTTGTCTCCTTTTCTTCCTTGATTTCCCACAATGCCTGGCTCTCCTTTCATTCCCACAAGCCCCGATTCACCTTTTATTCCCATAATTCCTGGCGGTCCGCTCTTCCCGGGAGGCCCTTCGCGTCCTCTGTCTCCTCTTGGACCCTGCACTCCTTGTGATCCCTTATCACCAATTTGTCCTTTTGGACCTTCTCTTCCCTGGGACCCCTGCGGCCCAGGCACGCCCGGCACTCCCGGCATGCCATTTGACCCAGGAATGCCTGGAAAACCGTGACTCAGTATAGATTTCTGAAAATAAAGATGGGTTATTAAAAGAAGAGCCACAGCCTATTATAGCATTGAACGGAGGTAATGTCTTGAGAGAGTATAATTGCAGTCCTGTCTTAGAGGCAAGGCCATAGGAGCACGGGCCGGGGGAACAGCACCTCAAAAATTTTGAGCAACTCAGATAATTGGGCAGCAAGAGAAATTTGGGCAAAGTCAGTTTTTTAAAGAAGTTTCTACATCCTTTTATTATTTCGAAGAGATAGATATTTTCTATTTTAACCTGAAGTCGGCGTGGTAAATCCAGTTAAATTCACAAGAGACAGTGGTTGGCTAGCACGGTGTGAGTTTCTGGTTATTAGTGAAGGGCATCATGTTGATTTACATAGTTGTAGTTTTTTAATTATGGGCACTGTGCCCACTGCACTAGTTGGTGTGTGGTAATTCCAGTCGTGAATTGATTAGAATCAGCTTCCGCATAACTTTTTAGAATCAATTCCGCTCGACATAACCATTCAGACCCTCGGCTAGTGTCGGAGTGGAGAAAGTTTCAACAGCGTATGGCAGATAGCATCAGCAATAGGTCTGAGAATGAAGAAATGGCTGACCAATTCTCAGCTTTAATTACAAGAAGCCAGGGCACTCAGACAAACGCCATCGAGTCGCCTTCAAGCCCTTGTAGGTAAACACGCGCAAAGAAAAAAGCAGCTGACACCGGAATCGCACCACCGCATAGCCTGTGTCACAGACGTAATTTAACCTCCGTTAGTAAGGTCTGCGAAGCAGCGCCGATATCCTTGTTCTGGGTCACCAACGGACTCAACGAATTACCGGTAGTGCGTTCAAATCTCCTTTCATCCTGATTGATAAATCGACATTGGCTTTTTTAAAAGGCCAATCAACAAGGATTTCAGCGCTGTTTCGCAGACGTACAATTAGGTTAAAAAACAAAAAGGTTAAAGGCTTGTTTATAGTGGAAATTGCACTTAGCTTGTCCAGCTAATTTACCGGCACCCCACTCAAATATCTAGAAACAAATAATTCAAATACAACATAACAGGATTAAAAACCCCAACTGACAGAAGGCGACCAGTTGGCTATTTACAAGCGTGGCCGAGAATTTGAACTCGGGACGACCGAGCACAAATCCAGCAAATGGCCAGAGCGGGACTCGAACCCGGGACCTCCGGATTGCGAGTCCGACGCGCTGACCACTCGGCCACGCTGCCTTCCTCATTTACTATGCGTCCATCGACAAGGCGCTGTCTAAGCTTCAGCTCAGGTTTAGCGGAAATGATCAGGAAATACTCTGTGCTTTGGGAAACATCTATCACAGTGAAACACCTGATAAAGAAAGCTTCTCCCGCGTTGCTAAATTTTACAAAATCGACGACGAGATTTTCGAAGACGAGCAGAAAATGTACGTGAGCTTTCGTCGTGTGCGCGGATTAGGCTACATGACGTTTCCAGAAATGCTAGAGACAATGCACGAGAATGATCTATTTGATATGCTTCCAGTGTTTTCTAATGCGGTACATATCCTTGGAGTAATACCTTTTACATTGTGTTCTGCAGAACGATCATTCAGTGTGTTGCACAGATTGAAAACTTACCTCCGCAGCACCATGGGCAACAATAGGGAGTTTAAGATACCGCGACTACGGACTACGACTACGGTTAAACATGCCACTGTGCATGATCAAAACCACGTGACTGTTCATTTTTCCCGCGTAGTCCTGCGGCTACGGAGAGTTGTTGAGCTGTTTCGCGTAGTCGCGACTACGGAGAACATTTTGCTCGCATTTTGCCTTCTCGGTAATTCAAGAATCTCGTCTTTTGGTTAAAAAGTTTTCAATTCACCTGCTTTAAGTGAGGGGGAAGCGAAATATGTAAGTTTTGTCTAATTTCTGCTCAGATTTACGCTTTTAATCCAAAGTTGTGACTATATTTTTACCTAGCTGGGCTCATATTTAAATAAGCTTAGCTGTTTATACGCAGAATTCAGATTCACGGCTGAGGAGAAGATAAATCATGCAGGTAATTTACTTTCTCTTCGCACTTGAAAAGTTTCAATGTTTGTTCGAACTGATAAGTGTGTCTTTCCACTTGTGTAACCTTTGTTTATGCCAGTTTTTGTATCACATTTGCTGAATGAAAATGATGTAAACATCTTCGAGACAATCGAAACTCGGCATTTCAATACTTCAAACTACATCAGATCAGTAGTCGGAGAAGTCCATCTTCTAAATCTAATAAATGAGCTATTACTATTTCTGTCTATTTCTTTAATATCTGACATAAGTATTCATGGGCGAAAAAATAAAACCTAAACCAAAACTTTGTTCGCTAATTTCACCCGACGTAATTGCTTCTTTCAAGTAGGGAAGAATTTGCTCATTGTTCTAAAGATAAGATCACATGCAAAACTGACTTTCATTTTTGTGAACCGTGATGAAAACAAGAAAATCTTTGCGTGTTGTTTCCCTCTCCGCCTCTTCTCTCGTAGTCTACTGTCTGAAGTGCAATCTTAACGTTCTATATTTGCACGACTCAACCCAGTGCTACAAACAAAGGACAACGCTCGTCCAGCCGTAGTTCGTAGTCCGTAGTCTCCGTATCTTAAACTCCCTAATGTGTCAGTAACATCGCACTTATTAACATTGAAAAGGCATATGCCAACTCTGTAGTCAACAATGATATGGATCGTATCATTGCTATTTTCGGCAGTCAAAATGGCAAAGACAGCTATTTTTAACGTATTTCATGACCTCCTATTTTTAATAATAGTTTCATTTGTAAGAATACTTTCCCTTCATATATAGGCCTATGTTGTTGCATCGTATGACCCTCATTTCTTTTCGACTGTTTCGTAAAAAATTTTGGGCAACTTGCCAGNTGTAAACATCTTCGAGACAATCGAAACTCGGCATTTCAATACTTCAAACTACATCAGATCAGTAGTCGGAGAAGTCCATCTTCTAAATCTAATAAATGAGCTATTACTATTTCTGTCTATTTCTTTAATATCTGACATAAGTATTCATGGGCGAAAAAATAAAACCTAAACCAAAACTTTGTTCGCTAATTTCACCCGACGTAATTGCTTCTTTCAAGTAGGGAAGAATTTGCTCATTGTTCTAAAGATAAGATCACATGCAAAACTGACTTTCATTTTTGTGAACCGTGATGAAAACAAGAAAATCTTTGCGTGTTGTTTCCCTCTCCGCCTCTTCTCTCGTAGTCTACTGTCTGAAGTGCAATCTTAACGTTCTATATTTGCACGACTCAACCCAGTGCTACAAACAAAGGACAACGCTCGTCCAGCCGTAGTTCGTAGTCCGTAGTCTCCGTATCTTAAACTCCCTAATGTGTCAGTAACATCGCACTTATTAACATTGAAAAGGCATATGCCAACTCTGTAGTCAACAATGATATGGATCGTATCATTGCTATTTTCGGCAGTCAAAATGGCAAAGACAGCTATTTTTAACGTATTTCATGACCTCCTATTTTTAATAATAGTTTCATTTGTAAGAATACTTTCCCTTCATATATAGGCCTATGTTGTTGCATCGTATGACCCTCATTTCTTTTCGACTGTTTCGTAAAAAATTTTGGGCAACTTGCCAGAATTTTTTGGGCAAATAGTTTACCGCCCCCTGGCGAAAAGTTGCCCGCATGCCTATGGGCAAAGCGGGAATAAAAGCGTAAATTTTCAGTTAGTAGTGAAGAACGGCGGGAAGTTTTAATCAAAATTCATGAAAACCTATAATAATCCATGTAAAACAGGAAGTTTTTATAAATAACTTGGCAGGAATTTTTTATCAAGGATGATTTTAGTAAGGATACTTGTATAGATAAAGAAAGCGGTCGGGACAAACGGTTTGGCGAACTCCCAGTTTCCCCCCTAAGCAAAACAATGTATCAGTATTTAAAGAAAGAACAAAAGAGAATAATAATTGTAATCAAGATGATGATGATGATGATGATCACGGCGTTGAACATCTTCGGCATAACAGAATGTTTTTAGATAAAAAGCAAGGATGGTATCATATAATTGTTAGTACTCCCTTAGACTGCGAGCAGTCTCTTGTTTTTTTTTTTTGCAAAGTTACTGCACGAAACCGCGAGAAATGAGGGCGTAAGCCCGAGAAGAAAAAAAAAAGACACTGCTGACTCTTTTGTTCTGTTTCGTCTCAATCCCTAAATAATAATATCGTGGTTTGCAATCGCGCTGGATTAGATAAGAACTAGACAGATTTTAAGGGAAAAGGCGGACTGCAAGCAGTCTAGTAGTCCCTCTGGGAACTAGCCGAATAGTTAAAATTAAAAAAAAAGGAAAAGTCGGGAAAATGCAAGGGCTTAAGAGGGAAAGTTACTCGGCTGAGGAATGTTAATGCTTCAGAGTCACGTAAAAGTTGGAGCTTTGGTTATGGTGAGGAATACAAATTCTTCAGACTAGGATAATCATTGCTAGGATAATAATAAAATAATAATAATAATGATAATGATGATGATGATGATGATGATGATATCAGTAACCAAATAATAATGATAACAATAATAAAAATAAAAATAAAAAACGATAACATTAATAGCGATGATATTAACAATAATAACGATAAATAATGATCAACTTTTAAAACCAAAAAAGAGTTAAAAGCTAGGGATATATTTACCAGATATTTTATAGTGGAAAGAGAAATTCCTATTTAAAACAAAGCTCAGCCTCCCCGCATTTCATTTTGCTCTTTGCCTTCATAACAATGCAACCCTAAAAAGGAAAGCTCTGCCCTCAATTTAATTAACATGACACTGGCGTCAATCGATACCCGTCTATTATTGAGAAACTGCAAAATAAATTGTCTAAGATCAGGACAATCGGTGAGACCAATCTTTGCGGCCAATTTTGAAACGCAGACTTAAACACAGAAACGTTGAGGTTTACGTTATCTATCAACTAAATAACAAATCGTAAATCTCAGAAAGACCAGCGTATCTTATAACAAAGCTGGCATTTTTATTGTGCCAATATTAACTCCGTTGCAGACCTTTTTAATGCGATTTTTTTTCCACCCACTGCCCGATACCCAAAAATGTCATCTAAAACAGAATAATCGTTTCATACCTCGCATAAATCTTTTAACTTTGCCGTGTTTTGTTGCTGAGGTGAGGTGGTTGTTCCCAGTGAACCGCCAGGAAAAGAGAAAACCAAGAAAACAGCGAAATACTGAACCATTATTAGAGCTCAACCAGAACACTGCGATTACTGAAATCAGTGCTACGTGCTGATCAGTTAAATAGCAAATATTTGTTTTGTTCCTGTTTTAGTGGTGCTGGTTACCTCTTTATTGCATTTCCTTTTATGGTAGAAATATTTGTTTGTTTTCTCTCTCGAACAAGCTTGCCTTTCAGAAGTGAGTCGTTATACGTGCGGGTATAGTTCAAACGGATTTTTACATATATTATATTTAAATCACCATATCATTTATCTCATATCTTTTAGCTACCATATCATTTACCTGTGCACGTTTCGTTTGAGTTCGATTTTTCTTTTGCGGTAACCTTTTTACTCGCACTCATTATACGTTTGCACGTTTGTGAACAAATGCATAATTTTAACCAATTGAACTAGCTTTGTTATGTGCACGATATTTGTTGCTTTATTTTTCTTCAGTTGATGATGCCCTGTTTTCTTTTTTAGTTCTAAACCGCAAAAAAAATTAAAGGTTGCAACCTCTTAAAAGCACCCACTTACAAGTGGTTAGTGCTTACTACAGCGACAGCCACGCAAGTTCCAACCTGAGAAAGCTCATAAGCTATATTCTTTGACGATTTTGTTGCTAAGCACTTATCATTAGTAATGAAGTCTTAGCAAGGAGAGAAAACGGATAAATAGCAACAAAACCAGTTAAAATCAAACGTTATGTCAAGGCATATGTTACTTATATCGATACTATGTAATATGTCTTTGTTGTCTCGCTGCATATTTAGTTGATCATCCGACTCGTGTCAACCTAACCTCTCTTTTAAGAGGCAATCATTTTCATCGCTGTATTAAGGGAGAGTACAACTGCGTACATTCCCGCATTTGCTCCCTCTTGCTTTTACCACGGCTATTACATCTCATCTTAATTTTTCCCTCCCTCCGTCCCTCTTTGCGATTTGTTGAGAGACCCTCTGTTCCGTTATGATTTAGTTTTGCAATCGGGCGAATTTCTAGCCCCACCGTTGCTGAAAAAAACAAATTGTTTAGTATTATCGCTGTTAATTTGAATGCGTCTTTGTTTGACAGCCAATTAAACTGCCACTCAGACAAGTCGCCAATTAATGCCAACACTCGAGTGCCTTCTCTGTTGTGACTTCAATAAAAACGTCCTGATTTTTTTTTTCTTTCTTTCTGTACGTTTTTTAATCTTAGACAATGGAAAGAATTTCGGCAGGACCAGGAAATTTAACTAAGACTAGAAATATGAAAAATATGAGCTGTAGCCAAAGGTTTTTACAGTTTATCTAGAAAAGGAATGCTAACGATTTTTCAATTTTCCCGCTGACCAGCTGTTTTTGAACTTTTTTTCTACTGTTTTCATTTTTCTTCTGAAAAAGTCGATCAATGTTCCGCTCCAAAGAGGCTTCCTTCTTTCTCATCACCATTTAAATACGCGTGAATTTCTTGCACTTTCCTTTTCATAAAGAAGAAAGTGAATTTAAAGTTAAAAGTCCATAAGTAAAGATTAGATAGCCCGCCATCACCAAGGCGTCCCTAACAAGGTTAGCGCGGCGCGCACACTCCCGGATTATTTGTTTACCCTTTTCTACCTTGGCTTTTTTTGTTTGTTTGTGTGTTTTTGTTTTCCTTTTCCTTTTCTGTTTTCACCATAAAAAATCGACCACAATGCCTCTTATAAGGCAACGAGTCAGTTTTTAACAGGGCACTGGTGCGAGTTCAGTGGTAGAATTCTCGCCTGCCACGCGAGAGGCCCGGGTTCGATTCCCGGTCAGTGCAACTATTTTAATGTTTCATGTGGATACAAAAAATGAATAAATAAATAATAATCATCATCATCATCATCATCATCATTATCATTATAATCATAAGAATAATACTAATAATAATGACAGGAAAGATTGTTATTGTCCAGTTATCTAGCTAATTTAGTCATAACAAGGGGTATAGAAGAAAAGATTTTTCACAGATTGGGAGATCTGATGTACAATACAGGAAGTAGGACAGTTGTTTTCGGCTTTTGTTTATCGCGTGTTTATAGCAATTCTCCTCTACTATACTTATGCTCTAATAAAATTATTGATCGATATTCTCTTCTTCATCTTTGAAACTTAACCATATACTATGACGTAGCCGCTGAAGGCAGCAAAAAATAAAACAGTTTTACCTGTTCGCATTTAAAAGAATTTGAGATCAGTTCTGGATCGCTGGTTTGATAGGATGGTTCTGGCAAAAAAAGTATTTATTCGAAGAATCTGTTTTGTGTTACTTATCATTTTCCAGGTTTACTTATTTTATTGTATCTTCGAGTCCTCTTATTTACAGTATGCTTCAGATAAAAGTTCCAAGAAACCCCTTAGCTAAATATTTTACCTTTTCCATTTAAAATGGTGTTATTAAAACATAAAAGAAATTAAGAATAGGAAGGTTTGTGTTGCGCTAAGGTAACTGTTTATAGTGTTTAGCAGAAACAGGTCACCCTTACTCTCATGATTTAATCACATTTGATCAAGAGTAAAGAGATATTTGAGGTGAGGTAGCTGTTCTCAGCGAATTGGCAGAAAAAACATACATCAACGTGAGAGCGAAATGCTGCAGCAGTGCTTTGTGATCCGTGCTTTGTGCTCTTTTATTGGATAGCGAATATTGCTTTACTACTTATTTACATTTTTTTATGGCAGTTAAATATTTGTTGTTACTAATAATTATTTGGTCCTTGTTCTTATTTCTTTCTCGAACAACTTAATATTTAATGCAGCCACCTATTAAATAATATCCGGCCTTTTTGAATGGGTAATCAGTACGTGTGAGAAGTCAACTGAAATTTGGTCAAGCTCCAGCTAAACAAGCCGCAGACATAGGTGTGGTTTCTATTTTTAATCTTTACACCATCAGATAATTTTCCCACTGACCCATGGACATGCACGTTTTGTTTGTTCTGATTATATGACCAAACATATGTGCAATTTTGATGAAAGAGAATTTTAACATGTTACATGCTAGATAGTTGTTACTTCGTTTTTATTGATTATGCTTTGTTCGAGTTTATTCTGTTTCTAAAATGCCAACAATTCAAAGTGACCTCAGCTAAATGTTTAGAGTGCATCTACTTCTGCAAGGCAAGTGGTGTTAAGTATTAAATTAGAATTTTGATTTAGTGCCAGTAAGCCATGCCAAGTCCCGTTAGATTGTTTTCTTTGATCATGATTTTGAGGTAATCGGTGTTTATATTTTACATTCCTTGAAGGTTGATCTGTTCTGGTTCTTTTCTGCTGTTCAGATGTTTAAGTTATTGGTAATGAGTTTTACCCAACGAGAGAAAACAGAGGGAATAACAAAACAAGAGAAATACTGAATCATGATAAGGACTGGAACGCTGTATTTTACGGCGTTTACTGCAGTCATTACTACTAATTCGTATTTCTTACAAGTCAATATATTAAAGTCCATATACTTTATTGAGTTCTCTTTGGTTAATTTGAACAGGTTTTTATTGACGTGAAGGCGTGCAGAGTACAGAAAATAGCCAATCAGATCAAGGACTTTAGTATATAGATACCTATAATCTGAAGTTCAGCAACATCAAAATTTCGATAGTTTCGATACATTTAGCGTCGTTTTCTTCCGCTACCAAGCCAAAAACTTTGATTTATTTTGTGAGCTCCACAAAATCCTTCCTCCTGCAAACTATTTCTTGTTTATTGCAGCTAAATAAGCTCAATGACCAACCATGAAAATCTCAGTATGTGATCGTAAAACCTAGGCTGCAACTGCGATTTCCCTTGATACGGGAAATCTTCAAAGAGATGTTTATTGATGTGCACTAAAACCCCAGCTATACAATTTTTAAGTCTAATTTGATAAACTGATTTGATAAGACATTACAATGAAACATCTATGGTTTACTAGTTCTGGTCACATTTCCATTCTATTTATGATTTTTAATTGCTCACATAATCTCAGTTTATAATTATTTTATAATATTATGCGATTTGTCTATAAAGTCAATATAATGGGTGTGAATCTGAAAACTAAACAAGAACTGAAACTTGGCTATAACTAATAGTTTACTCAATTAAGAGTCGGCATCAAAATACACTGGTCACTCTGTTCAGTGGTAGAATTGCCACGGGGAAGCCCCTTGGTGCTGTTGACTTTGATCTCAAAGACAAAGCGATTTTTGAAGATTGAAGTGAATCCTGTCTTGTCATTTCGGTCTTAAAGTCCATGGGAATACCTCGCTTTTCTGGACTGTAGGGTAGAAAGGCGCATTGAACTCTGCCAAAAGCTCTCTCGTGTGGGCTGTTTTTAAACTTGGCGATCATATGCGCAAAAAAAGAGGAAGTGTGTTGGTTTCCTGTTGGCGCTGATGGTAACGCGGGCCGCGCCGTCAGTTTCGCTCGAAACGATAAACGTATCGAGAAAGGCTATGATGGGAGGAAATGAGGAAAGAGAAATGAAGTTCTTTCTCCTTTCAGTTAATCTCCCCGTGTGAATCCCTCTCATGCTTTCCTCTTTAATGTAGGAGGAAAGTACGCACAAGTAAAAGACGAAAAATGGAGAAAAGTCCATATTCATCCATATTTATCCATATTCTTTAGCGTTTTTCAGTATTTTTAATTAATACTAAAAAAATAAATTTATGCTAAATTTTATTAAGAATTAAAATTGTTTTCCAATGGTTTGCTTTAAGTTCTTTCTTTTTTTGAATAAAATAGGAGTCTTTCCCTTACTTTTTCCTTTTTCATATTCCATAAGCTGAAAAGCTAACTAAAGGCGGACAAATAAAAAAACAGTTCAGTTCACTAGCTCGCATTCAAGTGTTTAGGATTAGTTTCGTATCGCCGATCTGTGGCGATCATGCGTACACTACATAAAAAAACAAGTTCAAGTTCAATTGAAAGCTATTGTGAGCTATACTTATCTTTTTTTTGTTGTGGTTACCTTATATATCATTATCGTTGAGTAACTGTTCTGTCATTCACATTTTTTAATCCATATGTTGTAATATAATTTACTGGAGGGTAATTCAAACCTTTTTTCTTGATCCAGAGAAATAGCCTATCATAAGGAGCATCAATGCACAATAAAATAGGTCATGGGTAGTTTTGTACTCAACTTTATTTCATGTATTTATTTTCCGATTAAAATTACACCTAAGCGCTAATCCCCACGTAAACGCACCCAGTTATGTCAAACATGAAGTCATATGTAAATAACAAATAATTGTGTCTAACGCGAAATACCTTAGGCACGAATTGTGTGAACATAAGTGGGAGAATATTACTTACTAATACAGGCCTTTGACATTGACGTTTGGCTAGCTAATACTCTTGAGCCGGCGATGCTTACGCTAAATTAAATTGCCTCTGCACCCGTTATATTTTTCTATGTTCGTATATGATTTCCGTAACATAAACACACACAACATTCAATGCAATAACAAAAAAAAAAATGCTTGGAAAGCGAAAATATTATTTTATTTTTCTATAGAAAAGTAGAAAGAGAAAAAATTTCTTTTGGAAGACGCGGAAAGGAGGGAGATGCCCTTGTTAGGACTGGGGCCTAGATACCTCTTCAATCATTATTCGGGACACTGATTTCCACCCTGTGTAAGCATCACCCAGGGTTTCGCCACTACACTGCCCTACCCATAATTCCACTCTGACCGCCCCTTGTGGGATGTTTTCACAGTACCCCTCAAATGACCGATGATGCAGCAGATTGGGGTTCCCAGATGACCAGTTGTTGTAAACAGCAGCCTCAATCGTCATTGGTCCACTGCATTCGTTTCCATTGAACTTGAAATACCACCGGTTACACTTATCATCACCTAGGACCCTCATGTTTCCCTGGAATGAGACTTTGAGTGCTGAATACGTCTTCAACTTGTTAAAAGCACAGTCCTGGTAAAAAAAAAAACAAACAAACAAACAAAAACAACAAAACAAAAAAACACGATTTAAATGTCCGGAACTCTAATAATGCTAAATAACAAAAATATTAATGCCAGCCGGAGAGAGGTCTATTGGGGATAAAGGCTAAGGGAATTGCGGTTGGGGTCATAGCTGTGCTTTAAACGGTTTATCTCAGAAAAAACTCTTTCCACCTATGATGATCGTCTGTTATACTTGTGAATAATTCGTGTTTAGCTTTTAGCGCGTTTCTTGTTTACCTTAATCTTTCCGTTATCAATACCGCTGTATGATTTCCACACACATTGTTTCCAGTTGGTTTGTGGTACTACACTTGCTTGACTTGCTTTGGCGCTTTCTCCTTTCTCTCCTTTGTCTCCTTTTCTTCCTTGAATTCCCACAATGCCTGGCTCTCCTTTCATTCCCACAAGCCCCGATTCACCTTTTATTCCCATAATTCCTGGTGGTCCGCTCTTCCCGTGAGGCCCTTCGCGCCCTCTGTCTCCTCTTGGACCCTGCACTCCTTGTGATCCCTTATCACCAATTTGTCCTTTTGGACCTTCTCTTCCCTGGGGTCCTTGCGGCCCAGGCATGACCGGCATTCCCGGCATGCCATTTGACCCTGGAATGCCTGGAAAACCATGATTCAAGGTAGATTGCTGAAAGTAAAGATGTGTAATTAAAAGAAGAGCCATAGCCTATTATAGCAGTGAACGGAGGTAATGTATTGAGAGATTAATTGCCACAGTCTGGAATGAAAGCGTACGTTTTCATTTAGTATTGAAGAATGGCGGGAAGTTTTAATCCAAATTCATGAAAACCTATAATAATCCATGTGAAACAGGAAGTTTCAATAAATAACCTAGCAGAAATTTTATATCAAGGATTATTTTCGTAAGGCTACTTATGTCGATGAAGATAGCGTTCGGGACAAACGGTTTGGTGAACTCCCAGTTATCCCCCTAAGCAAAACAAAATAAAGAAAGAAGCAAAGAAAATAATAATAGTAATCATGGTGATGATGATGATGATGATCACGGCATTGAACATCGTTGGCATAACTAGTGTTTTTAGATAAAAAGCAAGGATGGTGTCATACAATTGTCATAGTAGTCCCTCATGGAGCTACCCGAATGGTTAAAACTGAAAAAGGAAAAGTCGGAAAAATGCAAGGATTTAAGAAGGAAAGTTGCTCGGCTAAGGAATGTAAGCGCTTCAGAATTACGTAATTGCTGGTTTTCAGTGTCACGCCATTTAAAATAGATTTAAAAAAATCAAAACCGTTCAATAGATAAAGTCCAGAATCTGGGAAATGAAAGGAGGTAAACATGCAAACACCCTCGCCAAGATTCAGGTCAGAGGAACATTTCATATACGAGATATCGGAAGAAATGTTTTACCCAAATTTATAGTGATTTGTATGGAGACGCCATGCTGGTGCCCATCTGAATGAGCTGCAACATGGCGGACGGAAACCAACAGAAACATCTGTTACCGAGTTTTGCTACAAAAGCGCGAATTTATTCCTCGAGGAAGTCATTAACATTAAAGTAATACTTTTTTCTAATACATGAACTATTTAGATAGCAAAATTCCCTGAAATAAGTCATTTTTTAAGCCTACAATGACATATGCCGCGTCACAGAAAAGCTTAGAAATTGAAGCGGACTCTATCACAAAACCAAGAACCATTTTGAAGCGAAATTTTTTCTGAAAATTAGTTTTCAGCTGCTCTAATACATCATGAAAGTAAAATCTCGGTAGGATCGATAGTTCTGTAGAATTTTAGTGTTGTCATGTGAAAACCAACAATAGTTGGAGCTTTGGTTCTCGTGTAAAATGTAATTTCTTCAGACTAGGATAATTATAGCTGTGTTGATGATAAAATAATGATAATAATGATGATGATGATGATGATGATGATGATATAACCAAATAATAATGATAAAAATAATAATAATGAAAATAACGATGACAATAAGAGTAATGATGTTTATAATAATAACGATAAATTAATGATCAATTTTTAAAACCAAAAAAATCTTAAAAGCTAGGGATATTTTAAGATAGTTTATAGTGGAAAGAGAAAATCCTTTTTAAAACAAAGCTCAGTCTCCCCGAATTTCATTTTTCTGCTTACCTTTGTAAACAATGCAACCCTAAAAAAGAAAAGCACCACCCTCAATTTAATTGACATTGACATGACACAGCCGTCAATCGATACCCGTCTATTATTGAGAAACTGCGAAATAAATTTTCTAAAACTGGGTAGATCAGAACAAATCCGCGAGACTAACTTTTGGGGTAACAGAAAAGTTGAGGTTTACGTTATTCATAAATTAAATAATAAATCGTAAAGCTCAGAAAGACCACGGTGCCTTATGACGAAGCTGGCATTTTTTATTGTGCCAATATACACTCCGTTGCACATGCGATTTTCTTTTCCACCCACTGCCCGATACCCAAAAATATCAGCTACAACAGAATAATTGTTTCATACCTCGCATAAATCTTTTAACTTTGCCGTGTTTTGTTGCCAAGGTGAGGTGGTTGTTCCCAGTGAACTGCCAGAAAAAGAGAAAATCAAGAAAACAGTGAAATACTGAACCATTATTAGAGCTCAACCAGAACACTGCGATTACTGAAATAGTGCTACGTGCTCATCAGTTAAATAGCAAATATTTGTTTTGTTCCTGTTTTAATGTTGTTGGTAACTTCTTTATTTCATTTCCTTTTATGGTAGAAATATCTGTTTGTTTTCCTTCTCGAACAAGCTTCCCTTTTAAAGAAAGTCGTTACGTGCGGGTATAGTTTCAAATATTTTTATATAATATATTTAAATCAGCAGCCTAGCATTTACCTCATATCGTTTACCAACCATATCATTTACCTGTGCACGTTTCGTTTGAGTTCGATTTTTCTTTTGCAGTAACCTCTTTTACTCGATCTCATTATACGTTTCAACGTTTCAGAACTTAGACATCGTACTGAAACAAATGCATAATTTTAACCAATTGAAGTAACTTTGTTATGTGCACGATATTTGTTGCCTCATTTTTCTTGATAATTTCCTGTTTTCTTTTTTTAGTTCTAACCCGCGAAAAAATTAAGGTTGTAACCTCTTAAAAGCACCCCTTCTAGGTGGTTGGTACTTATTATTAGATTACAATTTTAATTCAGCGCCAGCCACGAAAGTTCCAACTTGACAGAGTTGATAAGTAATATTCTTTGAAGATTCTGTTGCTAAGCATTTACCATTTAGTAATGAACTCTTAGCAAGGAGAGAAAACGGATAATTATAAATAGTAACCAAGCCAGTTAAACTCAAACGCTATGTCAATGTATAATGTTATTTATGTCGATACTATAGTATGTCTCTCACACGGTCTTCAGGGGTTGTCTCGCTGCATAGTCGGTCATCGACTCCTCCTAACCTCTCTTTCAAGAGGTAATCATTTTCATCGCTCTATTAAGGGAGCGTACAACTGTAAACATTCCCGCGCTCGCTCCCTCTTGCTTTCACCACTACGATTACATCTCGGCGCAAAAAAAAATATTTCTCTCCCCTCCGTCCTCCTTTGCCATCTGTCGGGAGACCTTCTGTGCGTTTATAATAAATATAGTTTTGCAATTGGGCAAATTTCTAGCCCTACCATTGCTGAAAATAACAAATTGTTTAGTATTATCGCTGTTAACTAATGCGTCTTTGTTTGACAGTCAATTAAACTGCCACTCAGACAAGTGGCCAATTACTGCCAACACTACAGTGCCATCTATGTTGTAACTTCAATGAGAACTGTCCAAATTACTGCTACGGTGCGGCATAAATACTTCATTATGATAAGGACAGAACCGTTATCCGGCATCTACTGTCCACTATCACTACCATGCCCGTTTCTTGAATTCGAATATTTTCAAAGTTAAACTGAATTTTTTTTTGTTTTTTTTTTGGTCAACGAGCACGTAAGCAGAGTTTAGTAATTTATTTACAAGGGCATCAAAATTTTAATAGCGCCGATAGCTGTCGTTTATTGTTGCTTTTACATGAAGTTTCTTTTTGCTAGTACGCCAAAAACATCAAGTCGTGACCTCCTCATAGTTTTCCCTGCTAAGTACGTAGGTCGTGTTTCTAAACAAGCTCCAACTTGGCTGTTGTTGCTTAGTTTTAAAATATACAGTTAATAAGGACCAGCAAACTGGCCTGTGAGTAAAAGATACTCAAACAGTAGCCTAAACCAACTATAACTCCATCTCTAAACTAAGAAACAGAATTCCAGATTTTTTTCTCTCTTTATGTATGTTTTTTAACATTAGACAATGGAAGACAGCACGTCCATGAAATTTAACTTTAAGTAGAGATTTGAAAAATATAAGCTCTAGCCAAAGGATTTTACAGTTTCTCTAGAAAAGGAATACTAATAGTTTTTCAATTTTCCCGCTGACCAGCTGCTTTGGTTCTTTTTTTCGTCTATCAGAAATCCGCTCCAAAGAGGCTTCCTTCTTTCTCATTACCATTTAAATATGCGTGAATTTCTTGCATTTCCTTTTCATAAAGAGGAAAGTGAATTTAAAGTGAAAAGTCAATAAGTAAAGATTAGATAGCCCGCCATCACGCCAAGGCCTCCCTGACAAGGTTAGCGCGGCGCGCATACTCCCGTATTATTTTGTTTACCCCTTTCTACCTCGGCTTTTTTTGTTTGTTTGTGTGTTTTTGTTTTCCTTTTCCTTTTCTGTTTTCACCATAAAAAATCGACCACAATGCCTCTTATAAGGCAACGAGTCAGTTTTTAACAGGGCACTGGTGCGAGTTCAGTGGTAGAATTCTCGCCTGCCACGCGAGAGGCCCGGGTTCGATTCCCGGCCAGTGCAACTATTTTAATGTTTCATGTGGATACAAAAAATGAATAAATAAATCATCATCATCATCATCAGCATCATCATCATCATCATCATCATAATCATAATAATAACACTAATAATAATGACATGAACATTGTTATTGTCCAGTTATCATCAGTTATCAGTTATCAGTTAGTCATAACAAGGGGTATAGAAGAAAAGATTTTTCACAGATTGGGAGATCTGATCTACAATACAGGAAGTAGGACAGTTGTTTTCGGCTTTTGTTTATCGCGTGTTTACAGCAATTCCCCTCTACTGTTATGCCCTAATAAAATTACTGATCGATATTCTCTTCTCCATCTTTGCAACTTTTCCATATACCATGACGTAACCAATTAGGGAAGCAAAAAAATAAAGCAGTTTTAACTATTCGCATTCAAGGATTTGGGATCAGTTCTGGATCGTTGGTTTGATAGGATGGTTCTGACAAAAAAACACATTCATTTGAAGAAGCTGTCGTGTGTTACTTATCATTTTCTTGGTTTACTTATTTTCTTGTATTTTCGAGTCCTTTTCTTTACAGTACCTTTCAGATAAAAGTTCCAAGAAACCCCTTAGCTAAAAATGATTTTTTCCCTTTTCCAGTTGAAGGGGAGTTACTAGAACAAAAACGAAATTAAGAATTGGAAGCTTTGTGTGGTTCTAAGGTCACCGTTTAAAGTGTTAAGCAGAAACAGGTCACCCTTATTTTCATGGAATTTAATCACAAATGATCAAGAGTAAAAAGATATTTGAGGTAAGGTGGCTGTTCCTAGCGAATCCGCAGAAATACATAGCATTAACGGGAGAGCAA